CCCTTAAGACGCTTGTCTGCCATTGTTCATTATTCAATTATTATTTTTATTTTGTATTAAACTGATTGTTCAATCCAATTTGTGATTAGTTTGTGTCTTAAAAGGAGCATTCACATTTCTACTGCTTTGCTCGCAATATAATCTGTGCATAGCCAATACAATATTCAGATAAACATAAAACTAAGTACTTGGCAGCACCCAGGGTCTAAACAGTGGCAAAGAAACCGCCTTCAGCGGTTCCAGAACCGCATTCTGAGGGGAGTCCTGTCGGAGTCCAGGTACGCCAGAATAAGGGACATGTATGCGCAAGCATACATTCTGTATATCTCTGACTACCTGGACGAAATCAGCGACAAATTCTACAGGAATCAGACCAACGGCTCTCCCCTCACGCGAAACCTCACCACAACGAGATATGATCCAGACAACCCCATAGTTCACGGCCCTCCATACAAAAATCTACCGATCTATTTCGAACCCCCTTAAACCCAGGTAATTCTTCTAATCCCTCCAACCCTCATTCTCTGGCATCCCACACAAACTCCTTCACTTGCACCAAACCACTACCTATGACCCTTCAGGGCATCGGATTGGACTTGGTGCAGGGTTGGCGACCCCATTCAATCCAAACCCGCGCTCACGCGCACATACCCTAGAGGTCACACATTTGGTATCGAGACTACGTCCACTGGATCACACTGCCACGAGGCACGACTTTTTTGTTTTTGTTTGTTTAAAAAAAATAAGGTAATTAAAAAAGAGTTTTTTCAATGTTTTTGCTGTAGAACGGGCGCTGCGCAAGGATGCTATCAGCACTAAAAAAATTGTACCAGAAAGTAGGGAATAATTGTACTAGATTGGCGACATTGTGTACTAGCTGAAAGCGGGTCAAATTTTGAAATTTGAATACAAATGTAGGCTCTGCTAATTGGGAGTAAATATCACTTGTTTTAGGGTCAGTTTCTCAATAGCGAGTCACCTCCGTGTTGGTTTTAACTGCAGGGTGAACGTCTCCAGTTGCAATATTTACCCTGGAGTTATGCTCAACCCGGGGGTGACTCGCTATGGTGAAATGTTAGAAATTAATAAATTTCTACATATTTAGTTATAAATCGACTACCAATTACCGTGACCGGCTGAATAACCAAATAACCCCCGATACAGGACACACGTCAAGTCACAGAACAAAAAAGTGCGTGTGCATTCGAAACCATATTCGAAACGCTAATTTCTTGTTTGGCTTTAGCCGCACCGGAGTGAGACCTGGAACGTGGAACCCAACCCACAAGTAGAGAGTAGAGCTCAGAACTTGGGTACGGTACAGAGCAAAGAGCCACACTCGACTTGTAATCCATAATCCATATTGTACTAAATTTATGAGAGAGGTACTAGCGTACTAGGTGAAACGTGATTGTGCTAGATCTAGTACAATTGTACTAGAAATAGCATCCCTGGCTCTGCGCGCTTAGCAACCCCAACTCCGAGCACCCCCCAAACTTTCGAGCAGGCCGATATGCGCAACAGCATGCTGCGCCATGCTGAGTGTGTAGTTCAAGTAGTCCTGTCCTAGTATTAAGTTAATGTTGTATGTTTTTTAGTTCGAGGGGGGCCTAACCTCCATACCTGAAATTATACGTCATAATTATGTAATTGTTTAAATAAAGAATTTGAGTTGAGTGGCTGGCACATTTTTGGATTATAGGTACGTTATTGTCGCCGAAGTGTTCTCAACTAAGGTAAGAAGACGTGCAAATTACTGAACTGTTTCCAGCTTTCTTTACTTTCAACACTAACACCCATAATAAGTATTGCGTAATATAAATTTTCCATTTTCTGACTAAGCACAAAAAAAAAACTAATAATTAAGGTTTCTCTATTAACTTGAGCCCTTATTAAATATTGTCGCGTATAAACTGGTGACCCTTGTCGCTTGTCCATTGATCTGTAAAATGAATTCTAATATCGTGTCAAAAGAGGAAAATGTCATCAGGACCTTTATATTATCGAACAGCGAGGATAAGTGAAGCGTGTAAAATTGGAATTTGCAAAATGAAAAAATAAATGTCGCTGGAAAATATATAAAAATTGTAAAGGTTAACAAGTACCTATACAATAAATTATGTTTTATACTGCAGTAAAAAAATAAAATTGAAATTCATTATTCTTTTAATAAAAAGACTAATAAGTAATCGAACAGTTTTATTTTGCTGGAATTAACTCAAATTACAACGTTTCGGCCTCTATATCAGGCTCAATATTTCAAGAACTACCACGCAACAATACTGCTCTATCATTATGTGTACGAGAATGCCAATTTTCAATTTTATTCTTTTATCCTTCAAGGGAGCCTTGCGTGCTAGACTATATTACAATATTTATTTTTAATACTCATTATGCTACCGCTCTGGTTCTCGTATTGAATTTAATTGAATGGTTTATTATTTATTATTGTAAATATATGTTTCACCAATGGATAATTAGAGCATTAGAAAAAAGATTGAGGAAAACCACCTATTTAAAATATTATTTCTTCAAATCTTAACTTGATTGTTTAATTCAATTTGTTATTAGTGTATGTGTAAGGGGCGTTCACAGGTTAGTGGATTAAATGTTATTTTGTTTTTGAGAGTTCAATTTATGCAAGTTCCTATTATTTTGTTCATTCTTATGTATTTTTTGTTTGTTTATAACATTTTTTATAACATGTGCATTGTTCATGTATTTAACAAAAATCGTTTCATGCTGTATAAACAACACCGATAAAGAAGTAAATTAAAACCTAAGAAATTATGTGCTGTCTTTTTGTACTGAGATTTTGATTTTGTGTATTCAGAACGTGCATTAGGGCCTTGTTGATATTGAAAATCAATCTAGAGATATTGGCTCAAAAACAACTATAGCTGTGAGTTACCGTAACTAGGGACCTCAGTACCCGCCACAGATGGGCTAACTAACCAAAAACTCTTCAGTGTTGATTATAGGTAGTGTTGATTGAATGTAGTGTGTGTAATTAAAATTTTAGCACAAGAACAGGGGCAGTACCTAGTTTCAACTTTTATTGAATTAATGACTCACAATTATGATTAAAATGACACAGTATGTTTCGATTTTTGAGGAATGTTAGATCGAGGATTTCTCTGCCGTGCTCTTTCCCCTCGTAAGTTCCAGGATGAGAACGGTACGATTTACTTTAAAAATAAAGTAGACGTTTCACAAATTTTTCGTTTCTTTTGCATATCACAACTTCCCTTAAATTTCCCAAATATTTGCTATGTCGGGCGCATGTCCAGTAAGTAAAATTGAGTAAGTTTCCACAACGTAGATCCTATTTGTTTTTCATTTCATTTTTCAGAAGATTTGTTGTTTAAAAGGTAATAAAAATTCACACCGTTCAATCTTACTGAACGAAGTCGGGTATGTTATACTACAAGATTGATAATGTTAGTGATGATTTTTTTTTTCAATGTTTCGAGTACGATTCAACTGGGTCCATTGCAGTATTGCTGGAGTTGACTTCTATATGCAATCTTTCTCAACTTATCCGTTCAAAAAATGAGTTTATGAAATTTTTAAAAGATAACTTCTGGAATGCCGACTTTGATAAATTCAAAAAATGAATATACATAAGTAAAAAACACTGAAAGATTGCTAAGGTTGATTAATAATAAAAGAAACACAGGTTTAAATGTTCAAAGTACAAACAAATTCTATATAACATCCACTGAATTATTCCATCTCTTATCAATCTAAAAATACGAAAAGGTTGATGGTTGATAATAATAATATGCCAGTAACAAATTATAGAGCATAATATGCATTTCCTAGGTGTGGTTTACGATCATACACGCAAAAGCTTTCCTTGTCATATATAAAGTTTCATTACAAAATAAATCGACATTCTTCGGACTATTGTAGAAGAGTTTTCCATTGCGCTTTATTTCTAAAGCCATAAAATTCTTAATGGTGGTAGTATAATTGTGTAAGAGCGTGTGCAAATATACAACTACAATTTCTGAAAATAAATTACAAACGAAGTCCAAGCACCGAACTCGAATTGATTATAGAAGAACAAACCTATTAACTGTTATTTATGAGTTCGAGCGAGGAATATAAAGTTTATAGTTTGGAGTAAGTAAAATATAGAGCTTGAAATTAATAATGCATGGCAACCTTTTCTCTCAGGAGGTGGTCCATTTTTAGAAAGCTTCAGATTAATTTGTTTTTTTTGTGTATGTAACAAGAAAACGAGCAATCAGAGTGATCGCAAATTTATCAAAAAAGTTCTAGATATTTCGTGATCGGACTTCTTTTCTTTTGCTCCTAAGCGTCTGAATTATTTTTTATTGTATTGATGCCTGAAAAAACAAGCATGTCATTTTCACTATCTCAACTATTACCTCTTTCTCTGCTAAATTTCCTTATGACCATAACGAAAACGTTAAGCAATTAAACTTCTTAACATAACATAGTTTACTGCTTATGGTGATGCTTATGTGCAGTGGTGCGATAATTTTGTCCAGGAGTATATTTTATTATTCACATAAATCGATCTTGGTTGACTAACTAATAATTGAAATTGATCAATTATTAAACTTGAATATCACTTGAATTCCTTTGTGTTCACAAATAATTTCAACAAAAATAGATCGACCCACAACGGCTCCAGTATTAAAATCGCGTCAAATGAAAAAAAAAATAATAATAAATAAATTTAAAAAAAAATAATAATAATTTTACGAAATATTAAGAGCATCAGAAGCTAGAAGCTTTGTTGAAGGAAATGAATAAGGACATTTTTTTGGGGCAAGAAACTGGATACAGTCATGCGATAAGCACTATCACTAAAATTAAAGTTGCGAAAAATTTCGAGTCTCATTTTCCACACTTGCGTACGTCTAAGTTGACTTCGGTTGATTCATTTTTTCAATGATGATGTTTGGATGGGTCAAGTTTATGTGGAATCAAAACCTGGCCGATTGTGTGGTGTAGGTCGTTGTTATTTCACACTCAATTATTAGTGAACATTCCAAACAAAATAGACGCGGTTTTTTTTTTATTGTTAAAACATTTAAACTATTCATCATTTGCTAGGTATCTACGTAAAAAAGCTGAAAAAGTTAAGTGCCCATATTATCAGCAATAAGTTGTCCTAATAAAAATAAATTTTCTGTTTATATGCTGGTGCCGTTTATAGACGACGTTGACGTAATTACGTAGGTATCAGTGATACTTAAATAGTGTTTTACAAAAATGTGGTGAATATAGCTTCTTATCAGAATAGAGCGAAATCGAAGTTCCAACAAATGTGTTGTTAATAGTAAAATAGGTAAGTTTTTGCTCCAGATATTTTTGATTATTTAAGGCAATTTGGAAAAAGCAAATCAATTATTTTAATCCACCAACACACCCCGAACGGAATTATTTCAGGTTATACAGGGTGTACCATTTAAAACGAAACAAGCTAAAACTCTGATGCCACGTTTATTTTTTAAAAGCTCGCTCGTACAGGTAATTTGATTTTCAAAGGGGGAAGTTTTCTGCAACCATTTTCAGCACTTCCACTTTAATCCTCAAGGCGGGGTGGGAGCAACCCTTAAGCAGCGTTTTCCTAGCAACGCACATTTTACGCGGCGTAGAACGTAATACGGCCGACGCAACGCAACATCCAATGCGCTGCGTAAAAGTGTTTTCCTAGGATTGTCAGTTGCGTCCGGATCGTCCCGATGAGTATATCAAAAAAGAAATTAGCTTTGGCTTTATTATTATTTCAAGATGAAATTTTGCAAGAGGAGATACATAATAGCCACGATTCATGATAGGACTCGAAATTCTGCGCTAGTCAATTATTTCAAAAAAGAAGAAGCGATTTAAAATACTTATCCATAGACATCTGCTCGACGACGAAGTGAAATTTAAAGCATATTTTAGAGTTACGTTGCAAGACAGCAATTCTCATTTCTCCTCGATCTTTTGAGAAAAGATTTAAGTAAGGAACCATGCAATCGTGTGCGACATCCTATTTCGCTACCTGAAAAACTTGGCCTAACACTGAGGTATATAACAGGAGCACTTTCTTTGCCAACACGCAGCGTACAACTGAATAGACTGCTCTCAGAGCAGTCGTCCAGTTGCGTCGACCGTATTACGCTAGCGCAGGTCGTTTTTACGCAGTGTAGGAAAACACCTTCATTTGATTTTCATTAGATATGTCCTCAGCGTTTTACGCCGACCGAATTACGTTCTACGCCGCGTAAAATGTGCGTTGCTAGGAAAACGCTGCTTTACTATTTCAAATGAAATAAGGCGTCGAGTGGTACCTCTTTTAAAAGAGCGTTCAATTCTCTTTCATTTGATATCATTTGTAAGGAAATTGGGGGCTCTTTTAAAACAGGTATTACTCGACCACATGTTTCATTTGGAATGGTGAGCGTTGGTCCCACCCCAGTACTGAAAATCTTTCAAATTACAATCAAATTACGTGTATACGAGCGATTTTCTAAAAAATAAAAGTGACATCAGATATTTAGCCTGTTTCGTTTTAAATGGTATACCTTGTATAGTTTACTTAACTGATTTTTACTTTGCAGTCCGAAAATCTGTTTCCTGAGTGCCAACTATAACTATGGGCTTACAGGAATGATATGAACACGATTTATAATTAATTAATTTTTTTCCAGGTTTCAGCTTGCGATGAATCTTAGTTTTTGGACCATAAGGGCTGAGAGCTTTGATAATTAGTTTTTGATCCATAAATTGAAATTATAATGGCTTCGAAATATACGATAGAAAGGTAAAATTTAAATGAGTAAACTAAAAGTTGAAGATCAAGGTGAATTTCAGTTAGAATAATTTTAATTTAAGTACTAAAATTTTTTAATATATTGGTATAGAAATTTAAGATAATATTTTCAGATAGGTACCTATGTCACTAGACACTAATTTAACTAAAATATAATAAACAAAAAATTATTGATGCAGGAAACACTTTTACATCTGATAACCTGTCTCTAATAGAGAGGAATTTCCTATTTAATGCACGATTTTTTTTTTTTTGTGAAAACCATACGCATAGCAGTACAAAAATTTCAAGGATAGGTGTTTTTCCACAACAACAAGGTGAACATAAACTAAATAAGCGGTTGCTGAATAGTGGCAGTGTATTTCTTATGGAAATTTTCAGTGACCAGTCAGCCACCAGTTGGTAACTTGTTCCAATTGAGTTTTGGAAATACTTATGAATTGAATAGTTTTTAATGGTAATGTTCAAGTTATTTTCACGATTTCGCTTTTGTTTCGCGTTTGTATGAAAATAATTAGCTTCCTAGATAGGAAGCTATGGTGATAGCCCGATTTTGACCATGTCAAATAGTAGATTATACCACGAGTCAATAATGATAGCTATAATTCCCGAGGAATATTTACGAACTGAGCCGCGTTATCGGCGAGGGAGTAACATTCCGAGGGAATAATAGCCATTATTGCGAGTAGTATAGGTACTCTACTTTATTTACGACAAATTAATTTATTTGAAATTTTCTTTCCAAAAACGCTCTTTGTTCATTCATCTCAATACAAATACACGCGTTTGACACTGACACTTTTGAGTTTGTTCAGGTATATTGTTTCCATGGTACTACTTATTTAATTTGAGAAATTTTGTGATTGGTGTGCAAGCGGGAATAATGACCATTAATCCCTGCGGGAATAATATATGGCATTATATTGCCGAAATCACATATGTAATATGTACTTACATTATATGGGACCCCGCACACTTCTTATTGGATTTTGGTTGAACGCGGAATTTGACCAAATTTTGGTATGTTGTATATTTCGACCTCCTGAGTAAAAGTTCTCATGGGTACGAACCGATCCTATGACTAGTTTCAGATATACGGAGGTTTTTCTAATACTACCTCAGGCAACCTGAAAATACTGAATTTTCATGCTTTTTGCGTTTATTTGTGGTAGGTAGCTTTAAAAAATGTTGATTAAGTTTAGACCTTTTACAGAAAGGTGCATGTTTTTAGTTAGGTGCCTATATATGTGAATATACTTGAAAAGTACTTGTTTGGTGGGCCTTTGTGTGTTTTTAAAATAAACACAAATAGAAGTATGACAAACTATATAGTGTATTTTTTCCCAAGATAGATTTTGACTTGACACTGTCAACTTTGAAACATAAACAATGCCGCTTATTGGTCGCAAGATGCCATTTGCACCTCATGCATTGTAAAACTGATTACAACCTGCAGGGACACCTCATTTTTCGACCAATCAGGGCCAAGCGTTATTGTTTATGTTTCAAAGTTTTCAATGTCAAAATCCACCTTGAGTTCTCAACAATAAGATTTTCATCCTCAAATCCTAACTCGTTTCGACGCTTTACAGCCAATCTACGGACTTTAGCATTTTTTAGTAATAAAACAGCGCGATTTACTCTTACTCTAGTCCTTCATTGCACACGTAGCACATTACCTTTCCCGAATTGCCATTTTCACAAGAAAGGTGACAAAAAAGACAATTCTCTTTATTGACAGGATCACTGTTTTGGTTTCCATGGCTACCAAGTGAAATATGACATATGAAAAAACAATTTCCATTGCTTTTCTTTCCATGGCTGTTTAGATTTTTCAAAGAAATCACCAAGTGTATGTATACCTATTAACTAAACACTTAAACCCTAGGCCAAGGGATCATGAGGCAAAAAGTTTTTAGCATAAGCGTAGCGAGAACTGGAATTCATTGAGTCACTTTTATCACAAAACGTAGGTACCTGAGTACCTACAAGTACACAATTTTTCACACTTTTGAACATTTTTGGTCATTAACTCATTTAGCTTAGTAACAGCCATAGTTTTTGAGCACCCCTGGTATATAAAGGAAGAGTAACGAACACCTACTAAACATTTTTAGTTAAGGAAAGATGAAATAAACAACTTTTAAAGCAATACATGCAAGTTTTTTTGCTTTATATGTACACTTTATACATATAGGTACTTAGGATACCTAATGTAGTATTAGAAAACCCCCTGTATATCCGAAACTAGTCATAGCATCGGTTTGTACCCATGAGAACATTTACTCAGTAGGTCGAAATATACAACGTACCAAAATTTGGTTAAATTCCGCGTTCAACCAAAATCCCATAAGAAGTGGGGTCCTTCATTAAATCTTGACGTTTTGGATCATTTTAAGCCTTTTTGGCAAGGTGGCATATTTCCGTCTGTGTGTGTGTATACATGTGTGTTGGCATTTTTCTGAGAAAACGGCTCGATGAAATTTGATGAAATTTTGGAAATAGGTATAAGACAGGGCCGGCTCCAGACATTTTGGCGCCCCGTGCAAAAGGTATTTTACGATTACTTTCCTACTTTGTCGTTCCAGTACTACTCTCGGTACTACCTATTTACTACACTTACTTTTGACTTTAATATTGTCCAGTGTCGGTGTCCTTATATGATACTATATGTATATTTTTATAATTTTGAGGTTTTTCACTATACTATTTTTATGCAACCTACAATTAGCGGCAACTCTCAAATAACACCAAAACATTACCTGCAAATCGCTTCCGGATGCGTGGAACTAGCTAGCGGTAGGTGTTCTCTGGTTCTCGTTTTTCGAACTGTTCGCGAACCATCCTGGATAATTCAAAGGGAAAAAGTTCTCTTTGCCTACCAACTAAAAAACTCCCCTCTTCCATCACAGGTTTCTCCCTCACCCCTGAATCGCCTTTTAGCATTACCTACCTCAGGGGAAGCTGCGTAAATTACGTATTGGTCATGTGTCGTCATTGTTGGTGTCGTTGGCATTTCTTGATTATATGTGTTTTCTTCCATTGTCTTCACTTTCAAGATTGCGTTGGCCATTTCTTTGACTGTGTTCCAGTTTTCGACTTTGCTGATCATTTTGTGGGTGATGTTCTGGGGTGTGATTGGTCCTGTTCTTTCGATGCATGTCTCCCGTTGCTCTTTTCAGTGCCCGCATGAGAGAAAGGTGTTTTCAATATTATCCCTTTCTCCGCAGTAGACGCATTCATTATCCGTGGTTTTATTGATCATGTATGTGCAGTCCCTGCAACAGCCGTGACCCGTCAACATCTGCATCAAAAAGAAGTCCGTTTCGCCATGCGGCCTATTTACCCATGTGGCCAAACTTAGAATTACTGTATAGGTCTATCTGCCCTTCTTTTCGTTTTCCCATATATTTTTCCGTTCTTGTACTAGGTTGATCCTAAGTTCTGCTTGTAATGCCTCTTTCTCTTCCCCGGCGTCCGATATATTGGCGACCTGGAAGACTAGGAAGTCTATCGGTGGTGTTTTTGCAATGACCAGTACTGCTTCTGTTGAAGTTGTGCGGTAGGCGAAGCATATTGTCAGTGCAGCATTCCTCTGGATGTTTTCCAGCCAGCGCCGGTATTTCCTGTATTTCATGGCTTCACCCCAAACTGGGTGAAGCCATAATCGACCTGGCAACAGAGCATATAGTATCTTTCTTTTGGTTGGGTACGGGCCTCCCACATTGGGCATTAATTTAGCCAGGGCTTTCATGGCGTTTGCTGGTTTGACCGCAGTTTTCTTTAGGTGGCTTGCAAACGTTAGCTTGTTATCTAGCCATACTCCCAGGTACTTAATGTCTGTGGTTGGAGATATCGTCTTTCCCCATACCATAAACGCACCACCTTTTTATTGGTTATTATTAAGGCCTCTGTTTTTTCTTCTGCTAATTCTAGTTGATTCTCCTGTAGCCACGACATAATACCTGGTATTGCTATTAGTAGCATTCTTTCAATCTAATCCAGGTGTTCGCCCAGAACTGTCAGTGCAATATCGTCCGCGCGTATCCTATCAGTGTAGCGCCCTTTGGTAGTCTTAGGGCGAGTATTATAAAACTACTTTGAGAGTTAACTTAAAGTTAACTTCTGAAAATACATGTAATTCAAAAAGTTAACTTCAAGTTAACTGTCAAAGCAGTTTTATAATACCCGCCCTTAGTTTCAAGAGTCCGTAATACATGATGTTCCACAGGGTAGGTCCGCATCCTGGAACTGCGCAGGACTAGTTGCGTACTTATTCAGTCTTTAGAACTGCGCGTTTGGAATTGATCAGAGTTCGAAAAAACCCGGACATATTATGTATTATTTTTGTACAGAGCAGGCGACAGCGATAATTAATGAAATATATCATAAGGCTTTTTTTGTATTGTGGTTTCTTTTGCCAAACTATTCTCCCCGAGATTTTTGCCGCCCTTCGATTTTGCCGCCACGTGCAGGGGCACAGGCTGCACTGGTCCTGGAGCCGGCCCTGGTATAAGAAGACGTGTAGGGAAAAGTTACAGAGATATAGGAAAAAAAATCCTCTCATAGATATAACGTCATTGATCTTTTTTTTAAATGGGAACGCCATCTTTTTTTTTTATTGATTGGTTAGAGCTCATTTTGCTTTATAAAATCTCAAAAATCTCAATAGGTTTCATTAGGTAGTTATTTATCTAGGAAGCGTCAGATGTCAAAAATTTGACATCTGGTTTTTGGTAAATATGCTTGCTTGCTGGACTGTTTTCGATAGACCACCCTGTATTTAGTTCTATCATTCCGTTTTTGGCCAGTTTTGTTACGGCACTAGGCACTAGCCATAAGCCCTAAGTAAATTGTTTTTTGGTGGTGTTGATTGTTGAAGCCTGATTTATCTGCTTGTGTTTTTTTTTTTCAAACTGATATGATATCTCATATTTACTCCCACAGGGCTGTTTTTGAACTAATTTCCGGTGATTTTCCAGTTTAGATTTGGAATCAAAAATAGTCTGATGTTGGTGGTTTTTCCTCTTTTAGAATGGAGTTTCAGGGACAGTCATGAGCACAAAAAGTTTTTTTTTGTCAAATATGACAATCCATGTCATTGCCGTAGGTATAGCTAGTGAGCCCGTTTTACAATAGGAAAAAACGGGTGTCCCACTTTTTGTGCTCACGACTGTACATTCTGACTGGGCAAAAGCTGGTGTCTATTTTATTTTCCACAAAACCATTTTGAATCAGCAAGTTTCCGGTCACCCCTTGCGTTGTTTTCGAACAAATAGGGTTTTATTCAATTTTACCTGTTTTTACTGGGTTTATGTCATAATTTTACACAATTTTGGACCACCCAAACCAAATTTTGCACACCGTCTTCCGAGAGACTACAGCCGATTTTCAGATGGGTGAGCAAACTTGATGGTTTCTCCCGAATAAAAGCAAAAAGCAAGTGAATTTCAAATGCGTCTATCATATTTGTAATATTTTACACAATTTTGCTCACTAATTTTTTCAAATTTTGCACACATTTGTGGAGAGAGTTATCGATCATCCAAAAATGAATATTTCCTCCCGACCTCAACCAAACTTAATAATTCTTTTACTGTTATATTCTACTAGTTTTGCACACCAATTTTCAAATTTTGCACACCTTTGTGGAGAAAGTTATAGACCATCAAAAAAATGAATATTTCTCGTCCCCCCCTTCCACCTAACTATTTTGTCATTTATAAAAAGCAACGGGGAGAAAATAGGTGAAACGTGACAATGATATGAATAGTGATGATAACGAATAAGATAAGAGAAAAATTCATTTTGTAAAGTGTTGTTGACCTTCAACTGTTCATTATATTTCTCCAGGAGGATATCATACTTTTTATCCATTTCTTCCTAGCTTCGCCATGACGTCCTCTAAAATATATGCCTCTGTGTTCGAATTTTGGAGGTTTTTGTTGTCGTTTTTGCACATATCACAGCACCATGGATGGGTAGACTTATGGTAATCTGTTGATATCTTTTAATACAATCCCTATGTTTCTACACGTAACATGTTTCACACAACAAGCATCATAGTTCATAGTATCAGTTTTAGGCATCTTCGGTAACGTAGAATTGACTTGACTATGAGGTGATAATTTAACTTCTCTTATGGTAAAATTTATATACGAATGAAATATTCGGGTAAATACTAATAAAACCAGTATTATATTGACAAAATTTGTCGGAAAAAAAAATTATTTGAAAATTGAAATTGGGATATTGGAGAAGCCAGAGCTATTTTATTGTTTTAATAGTTATACATAAACAGCGTGCGATAAGTAATAACCAGTGGAAAAACTAGTTCTCATGCTATAGAAAATCCAGTGGTTTTCTCCACTCTGCTCCATTTGTTGTGCTCGTTCCATTTGTTTTTTTTTTTCCGCAAAGTGACTCATTACTCTGTGAATTTCTATGCAGCATAATGACCCATTGATGTACAAAAATAAAAAGTACAATTTTCTTACTCATAGTTGAAAACCCTATTTTATTGAACCGTAACTAATAGTCGGTATTTTTTCCAGATTGTAACTTGATCAGACATGGGTAACTTAAATAAACACCTTTAATTAGTAGAGAAATCCCACAATACGTCACTTTAAAAAATGATACTACCTATATTCAACAACATGTACCTATATGTTATTAAATCAGTAAACACCCGTATCTTGACATACGATGGGTTTTAACTAGTAAAAATTAATAGCTCCTCATTTATATACAGTTTCGATAAATAGGAATACACAAGTTATACTTTGAACAGTACGAATTCAAATCTTAGCCGGTTAAAAATAGTTTTACTAATCTTACATTATTTATTTTTATAATTTTTTTAAGTTTGTTATTGTGTAATAACAGTTGTCATTTTTTGTTTGTGATTCAGAAATATTCAGACCGAAAAGATGGTGATGAGCGTTTGGAGACATCTATTACCGCAGGTTATTGCAACATTGTTGGGTAAGTACCTACAATTATAATAGGAATTATTATACTCTAACCAGAAAATAAACTACCTATTGAAAACTGTTCTTCTCTTTCACCGATCTGTAATTTATTGTTGCAAACAAGTAGAAATGACAGATTGATTATATTGGATCTCATGGATTTATATCAAGTTGTTATCCAATTATTGAAACTGCATTGTTTTTTTTTTTTAAACCGTAGTTTATTATCTGTTTAAGAAACAAACATTACATGGTATTCATTTACTTAGATTTGTTTATGTCCTTGAAGGTTTTTAGCTTCGAATGTTAGACAAAGATGATAGACTTACGCTACTTATAGCCTTGAACCAAATCAGTATCGGTTCAAATATCGGAAATATCGAAAAATGCTCCTAAAACCTCTTTTTTCAAAATGTTTGGTGGGGTTGCCTATTTATCGTTTCAAAATACATTTAACATTGTTTCCAATTAGAAAATGGATGTTTGAGGGAATTTTTTTAGTATATTCGATGTTTAACCCAATTCTGTTGCCATATCAGAAGTAAGTAGTCAGGGAAAAACTCCTAAGATGAGGGTTGACAAGAAATTTAGTCCAAGAGCCTTAACTGAATCCATTTTGCGTATAGTATTATTGTATTGTTCTGGATTAAGTACTTAATTTCTTGCAATAAATATCCATATCCAAACCTACAATCTATCATTTTCTGTTATTTTATCAGCCAAGTTGTGTCACTGTTTATTCTATACGTCAAAATAGAGAAAGGTATGGATGTTGAGCTATAACATACCTAGCTGTTAAAATAACAAGGATATACGGACATGATTTGTATACGGAATTGACGGAGCAGTCCTGATCCCAAAAACTCAAATAAGTAACCGATTTTTCATTGAAAATATGGTTGTTTCTGGTAAATCTCTTTAAAACATACTAAAATTGTATTTTATTATCCCACACAGAAACTGAATTAGCTCCAAAAATAATCAGGCAAAAAAGTAATTTCGCTCGGTATTGCGTAGGTCAGAATTATAGCAAATTAAACAAAAAAATCTATAAATAGAGTCTAAGGAAAAGGTGACCATGTGGAACAGAAATCTATTCTTGAATGTAAAATAACGAGTAGGTGTCTATTAGTTGTTTTATAATCGAAATAGGTAAAGAATCGCTTTCTGAACTAGCTAGAAAAATAGGCAGTTTAATTTATATACAGGGTGTTTGTTACATCAATAGGAAGTTTTCAATGAGTGATAGTTGGGGTCATTTGGAAGCTGTTTGACCATATAACCTTTCTCAATTATTTTCCTGATTTTCCTGATATACACTCTTCCAAAACAATACGGAAAAAAAAACCGAATGATTGATACAAAAAATATGTAACCCAAGTTATGTGTTAAAATAACATGGATTCAAAATATCTAAAAATGGCGAAACTTTTCATGGTCAAACAGCTTCCGAATGACCTCAACTATCAATCATTGATGTACCAAACACCCTGTATATAGCATCAATTGAAATAAATTATCAAGTACTTTTCATCGAAATGATATGCGCAACAGTTGCTAAGATAAATCACAATTTGTATTGATTCAAATTGACTGTTGACCATCGGCTAAACGCGGCAATTATAATTCTAGGTATAATGTAAATATAATATCGTGAGGAGGAAACTTTTAATCGTTTTTTTTTTCCGAGAATTAATTATTGTATTTGGCGCATCTTCACCACAAATATAGGTAATCGTTTTATTTTTAAAAGTTTTTAATTATTGGAAAAAACTACTTAAATAATTTTCCTTCACTTTGTAACATGGGAATAACACGCCCCAATTAAAATATTGTAATTTATTTTGCAGGCACGCTTATTGCCTTGTCCGATGGTATGACTTACGGTTGGACTTCCCCGATGATCCCCTACTTTAAAAGCAACCAGACCCATATCCAAGTCACCGACTATGATACAGAACTGATGGAAACCATTGTCTTTTACGGAGCCACCACTGGACTGCCATTTACAATCTTGGGCGTCAACTATCTGGGAAGAAAAAAATGTATGATTATAGCTGCCATAATTGGATGCATTAGCTGGATTCTATTATTGATATCCAATAGCCTAGCTTTATTATTTACCGCTAGATTCCTTTCTGGTTTTGCTGGTGATATGTGCTACGTAGCTGCCCCCATGTATATTGCTGAAATTGCTGATCATCGAATAAGAGGCTTTTTATCAGCTTTGATATATTTAATGATGCTGCTAGGAATTATCATCGTTTATTCTGTTGGGCCTTTTGCGCCTTACTGGGTTATACCTATAATTGGTATTGTTATAACAGCTTTGGAAGTAATTCTTTTTCCTTTTATGCCAGAATCACCATACTATTTAATTTCCAAAAAAAATGAAAAAGATGCTAAAAAGGCACTTAGACGATTACGTGGGGCCAATACCAACATAGATACTGAAATAATGGAAATTGAAAAAGCTATAGAGAGACAGAAGACTGAAAAAGGACGTCCTCAGGATCTGATTCTGATAAAAAGTAACAGACATGCTTTATTTATAATGTTAATATTAAATGGTATGCAGCACATGGTAGGAATCAGTGTAATTCTAATGAATCTCCACGTAATATTGAATGAGGCAGGCTCAGTGTATCTGTCTTCTTCAACAGCAGCCATTATTTTTTCTGTAACTATGTTATGTTTTGCCACCATTGCTTCTGGTGTAATTGATAAATTTGGCAGAAGAATTTTATTAATGTCTTCCGCCTCTCTTACTGGAATAACTTTGCTTATTATTGCGATTTATTTCCACCTGAAAAATTTACAATATGATGTTGTATTTATAAGTTGGATACCCGCTGTATGTGTGATGATCTATGCAGCTACATTTAAGTTAGGAATGGGTATAGTGCCGATTGTTGTCACAGCAGAAATATTTCCCACATCAATTAAAGCTGTCGGTATGACGATAGCTGATGTGGTATACGTAGTTGCATCAATAATCTCTATTACTACATATTCAGTTTTGTATAAACATGTCGGAATGCAAGCTCCGTTTTATTTGTTTAGTGCCTGTGCCTTTGTAACAGTGTCCTGCGTATTTTTCTGGGTACCAGAAACAAAAGGTAAAACTTTGGATGAGATTCAGATGATGCTTGAAGGCATTAAACCTGAAGACGTGGAAGAGACTAATAAAAAGGAAATTAATATTAGGTTTTAATGAAAACTATTGTGCGGAAAAGACTTAAAAGGAAAGTGATCATAGGTTTTAATTTATTAATAGCTAGAAGTAATGTATTCTCTGTAGGAATATAATATTATAATCTATAATATAGTAAGGTAGGTTTAGATTATCAATGTTAAATTATTAAGAGAAACTTGACTGATGCAAATATTGCTGCTCATTACTAGAAGTGAAGTTAATTTGTGAATAATTTGCCAAACCTTCTTTAAGTATAGTGAAAAAATCTCATTAAAATAGTTTTAAGTTTACTTTTACATATTTTTTCACATATTGTATGTTTATAGCAGGTTTATTGTTATGGTGGAAAATGTTCCATTAATTTAACTCGACACAGAAATGTTGTAGGTGAAACACTTTCAAACCTTCAATAAGATTTGCAATGTCAACATTATTGTCACAGTGAACTGTGCCACAGCCGTTTAGTTTTGATAATATTTATTTTTATATGATTAAGGCCATCAACTGAAACTCAATAGGTCAATTGTTTATTTTCAATTCTGGTATTATATTTTTTATTGAAATAGGTTTCCTGATCTTTATGGTACCTAATAGTACATATAAGTATTGTTTCATAGCCTTATCATTTCTGGAAAGTATTTAATTTCTTATTGAATAAAAGACTGTTTGTGTTTGGAACTATAATAGTTAATTTATTTTTGAACCCGTCGATTCCTATTTCAAGACATTTTCTTATTTGCTTGTTGGAAAGAAGAATCAAAATTGAGCCGAATACATTTATTTTCCGAGTTTTCTCGAATCCGTAATGGGTCCAAAATTTTATTTATATTCAATTCTCATTCCTACATTAAACTTAACTAGTATTTTTCATTGTTTAATTTTTTATTAAATGTCTTACTTGAACAGTTCAACAGTATATTGGTGATTAGAGGTCTATCCATAAGTTCCGCAACAATCCACTTATTTGTACTTGAAAAATAACTTATTATATAAAGTCAGAATTTGTAAGATTATCTACTTTTTGTCAATTCGCCTTCCAACAGGAATTAGAAATGTTACTTTACCAAACTAGTAAAATAATGTGACAAGTTATTCAAGTACAAATGAGTGAATTGTTGCAAAACTTATGGGAGAGGTTCCGCAGCTATCTATTCATCAATATGTTGTTAAATTACGATACTAAACTGACTCACTCAAATGTGCGTTATTCTCATTAGTTTGAAAATTACACGTTTCAATTGACACTTCAACAGTATATTGGTGATTAGATGGCTGCGGAACTCGCTGCGCTCGACCCGCAGAGGTCCACCCATAAGTTCCGCAACAATCCACTTATTTGTGCTTAAAAAATAACTTATTATGTAAAGTAAGAATTTGTAAAATAATCTACTTTTTGTCAATTCGCATTTCAACAGGAATTAGTAATATTACTTTACCAGACTAGTAAAATAATGTGATAAGTTATTCAAGTACAAATGAGTAAATTGTTGCGGAACTTATGGATGGACCTCTGCGGGACGAGCGCAGCGAGTTCCGCAGCCATCTATTCATCAATATGTTGTTTAATTACGATACTAAACTGACTCACTCAAATGTGCGTTATTCTCATTAGTTTAAAAATTACACGTTTCAGTTGACAGTTCAACAGTATCTTGGTGATTAGATGGCTGCGGAACTCGCTGCGCTCGTCCCGCAGAGGTCCACCCATAAGTTCCGCAACAGTCCACTTATTTGTACTTGAACAATTACTTATAATATAAAGTCAGAATTTGTAAGATTATCCACTTTTTGTCAATTCGCCTTTCAACAGGAATTAGTAATGTTACTTCACCAAACTAGTAATAAATTGTGACAAGTTGTTCAAGTACAAACGAGTGGATTATTGCGAAACTTATGGGTGGACCCAGCCATCTATTCACCAATATGTTGTTCAAGTACGATACTAACCTGATTCACTCAGTTGTGAATTTTTCTCATTAGTTCAAAAACTACACGTTTCAGGTAAGTGTTTTATTTGAACAGTTCAACAGTATATTGGTGAGTAGATGGCTAGGTCCACCCATAAATTCCGCAATAATTCACTTATTTGTACAGGGTGTTTTTTTATATATTGACACCCCACCTACAGCCTTTACCTTCACAGATAGAAGAAAGGTGTAAATACAAAAGTTGTACAGTTTTGGCTGAATTTTTAGAAACCATGGTCAGAAACAAAATTTGAATGTCAGAAATATGAAATTTTGCATGTTTCCAGCTTTTTTCAAATGGAATGCCCTATATTACATTCTATATTTTTGGAAAGCACAATGCCCCGATCTATATTTGATTGAGTAATCTCTCATATATTTGGCTCCAAAAATTGTAGAAATACTATCCTACTACCATTCTACTTGTACAGGTGAAAGCTGCAGGTAAAATTTGAGGTACTTGGTTTGTCTGATAGTTTTTAAAAAATTTTAGAACCAAATATGTTGGAGACGTCTCAACCAAATATAGACAAAATATATAGTTTTAAAATCGGGAAATTGTGTTCTTCAAGAATATAGAATCAAATATAACGCATCCCATTTGAAAAAAGCTGAAAGCATGCAATATTCCACATTTCTGACATTCAATTTTTGTTTTTGACGATGGATTTTAAAAATTTAGCCAATACTGTACAACTTTTGTGTTTACACCTTTCATCTTCCTGTGAAGGTAAAGGCTGTAGATGGGGTGTCAATATATAAAAAAACACCCTGTACAATTTGGTCAGGGTTTCAGCGGGTTTACTTGAAATTTTCAGAAGTCTTGGAATCAAAAATCGCAACTCAAGCAAAAAAAAAACATAAAGTGATGATATACATGGTAGGTAAATTCTTACAGTGTGGAATTATCAAATTGCAATACCATTACCATTACCAAAAATGTTCAGAATTCAAAAAAAAAAGAAGAAACAGACAAAGCTAAGAGGAGGTGTCTCCGGTCAGTTCAAGTCAAGCAAACTGATATTCATAAATTCATAAATTTAAAGAATTTCTAGTTGACTTTGAGTTCAGACAGGCTACAGTGTCTAATTTGATAGATCGTGAGTGTGTAGTTTGTTTTTGACAGTGCCCGAAGCATATTTCAGAAAACACTTTGTCAATGTTCTCACTTTAGAATATGCAGAAGCAGAAGCAAAGTTACGAGATGAAGTTGCGAAACCAAGATCTGGAACCAGTGACCATAAAAGAGACAATATAAAACCTGAGGTATTTGTTTGCAACTTTAAAAATGCAAACTCCAGTAGAAATCGAGTTGGAAATCAAAATTCTGATCAACGTGTATGTTTTGTATGTGGAAGAAGAGGTTATTCGATAAAATATTATAGATTAAGTAATCAGAATCAAGAGTGGCTATTCTAGATCTAGTTGTGAGTCGTGGCGGTTATGGTAATGATGGATCAATGTTTATGTATACATACATACTGTGTCATTTCAATGATAATTGTGAGTAATTGATTCAATAATTTAAGTCGATGATTCAATAAAAGTTTAAATAAGGTATCCACCTTTGTCAACGTGCTAAAATTTAAATTCCACACACAACATTCAATCAACACTACCTATATTCAATACTAAAGAGTTTTTGTGTTAGTTAGCCAGTTTCCCAGCAGGTACTGAGGTCCCATACGGGAAGCTACTCAGCTATAGTTGTTTTTGAGCCAATAACTCTACATTGATTAGTTCAATTTGTTTGCTAGGATATTCGCTCGTCAGGGTGGGAAAATATTAGTAAATTCAACAAGGCCCTTATACACGCTCTGAATCCAAAAATTAAAATCCCAGCACAAAAAGCCAGCACATAATTTTTTTAGGTTTTAGTTTATTCTTTATCGGTGTTGTTTACAGAATGAAATGAATTTTGTTAAATATATGAACAATGCATATGTTATAAAAAATGGTAAAACAAAAAAAAAATTATATTTGTATAAATAATTGAACTCTCAAAAACAAAATAACAATTATTCAACTGACCTGTGGATGCTCCTTTTGACACACAAACTTCTTCGGTTTCGGCACTTTCGTTTTCTGTGGCCCGTCCTCCATTCAACCCTAAACTTGACATGGATGCAACATTTACTTTTTTTTTCTAAAGTACACGTTTTTTTTTTAAAAGTTAAGATTCAAAGAAATAATATTTTAAATAGGTGGTTTTCCTCACACCTTGTCTAATTTTTGAATACAACACGATGGGAAGTTCAAGAAAATGCCATCTCTGGACTTGGTTTTCCATATGGGAAACCAGAAATAAAGTCACTATTTCAATTCAATGAAAGTTCACATATTACTCCCACTAATCGATCTACTAATTATCTGGCTAATTATCTCCCAATTAGCTCAACCAATGCACTAGTAATCTCGCCAATTATTTCACTATTTGAGTTTTAAAACAATGTGTTATTGTTTGAAATTTTCATGGAAATAACAGAAAATTGTCCATTTAGGGAAATATTCAATAACGCAAATTTTATCAACCAGGATTTTTTTTTTCAAATATTTTTTGATCCAACATTAAACTACATATACAAAGAACAATTTTAGATAATGCTTTTTTTTAAAAAAAAGTGAAAGGAACGATATTCTATTCTCAAACGATAATCTCCAATAGTTAAGTTTTTTAACCGGATAACCTAGCTGTCGAGGGGCTTTCAAGAGGGCTATCTATTTAAGCACAGTTCTATAGTAAATTTATGTTAACGCTTCCATTCGGCTTGAAATTTTAACAGTTTAATGGAGTACCATACATTATTTTAAATTTAAAACATGGATGTTTTTTTCTTTAGATTAAAATACATATGGCTTACATAACTTAAAATTTAAAAGCTTTTGCTTTTAGAGATTGGAGATATTTGTTGGGCGTCAATTTAATTTAAGTTTCAAACTTTGGCCACATTGAACCATCACATAATTATTACAAAGTTCAATACAAAAGTCTTTTACGAGATACTTTTCAAATGCCTGTCCGTTATTTTGTTACAGAATAGAAACTGACTTTGTTCAAAAGCTGTAAAATTTAATCCTTTATTAAAAGACGTAGGATGGTCCCACTAAAGTCGTTCTATCAATAAAGGACATAATACCTTTGGAAAAGTTGCCTCCTCTCGTAACATGCGGAAAGCTGGATTTTGCTGCCGTTTTTAGCGACTTAAAGTATTTGTACGTCTCTTCTTGGCAAAGAACAAGTGGTCCGGGATGAGAGGATTTAAATCCACTTTCGGGATTAAATTCGGGATGTGGATGTTTTAAATACACTTGAGCTACGAAAAAGTGTTTATTCTTTGGATTAGTTTTGCAAAGTGAAGCCTATTGACGGAGCTTGGATTTTTTGTAAGACAATAGAAGCTGCATAAAAGTACCTATACATATATTATAAAATATACAGTTATAACATCTAGACTAAAAAGAGTATTCCTGAAGTTTTATAGTATATTGCCTTGCTATTGAATAGCATCCTTTTTGTTATTGCAGATGGCAATCGATTCCTTCCGTTACCCATCTCATAACTTATGAAATGCTAATTCCATATCAATTTAATTGCAAATCGAACGGCGACAAACTACTTTTTTAATAATAAATCTAGCCGAGTGAGGTATTTATCAATCATTTTTATTCATCAACCTTACGGAATTTAATCGTTTCTTATGCGAAAAAAATTAGGAG